CCGCTTCATCAAAAGCAAAAGTGTTTTGCTGTTCAAAACTTATGATATAAAAATGTAGATCTAAGGTTGTTTTTTTGCTTACTTTTTATTTTCACATTGGCGTGTTTATGATTAAATTCTGAAGGCATATTCAGTTTACTTTAAAAACGTTACGTATGCTGAAAAAAAGTTTCGAAAATGTATCAGAAATTAAAATAATGTTCAAATTCAAATTTGAAAGAAACCAATCTCGAAAGTAACTGATTCAAATATCGCTTCAAGAATATGTTCTAAGGAGTACAGAAATATATCAGAAAAGCGAGGTGAAAAGAGGCTGCAAATATAACGCAGTTTGGAAAGATTTAGCTTAGCAAAAGTAGTCTTTGAGTTTACGAAGAGGCATATAGATCGATATATGCTATTTATAGATCTGAGCACGGCGTCCATGGTGTCAGGCTTCTGTTCACACTGTTCTAATTCTTCATTCTTTTTACCATGGTATTTAAATTGTTTGTGCTGCACATTTACCACTGCACATTTAGCCATGATTGCTTCATTTTCTTGTAGTATAAATAACATAACAGTTTATCATTTCTATTAAAATTCATTTCAGTGCTTTGCTATAAGAGAGAGAATTGTATTCTTCTGGAGGCTTTTCTAACAGATAGTTTTAGCAAAATGGTAAATGAAAGCACATCTTAGCGAGATTTGGTTAAATAATTCTATAAATGTAATTAATTTCGCGTAAAAATTTTTAAAATCTGTTTCTTAAATTAGACATATGGCAAATATTTGAATATGTTCTATTTTCATTCAAATATATTAGGGTTTGAACATCCTTGGGATATGAATTTCAATCAAAATTTGTCATTTTGAATTCCTAATCTAATCTAATTTATTTTAGAAGATGCGTATATGATTAAAACTCGTTTTTTAATAACTTTCGATATTTTATTATTATATAACTAGAAGTAGATAAGCCGGATGAAACATCTTGGATGGTTTCTCAAACTTATCGGCAACCATCACGTCTTACTACATTAAATGGTACTTATGTATTAGCGTAATAATCTTAGCGCAGTTTGGCGATATTACAAATGAAAAACAATCAAGAATATTAACTACAAATAATTATTTATAACCTATACATAGATTTTACCTTTTAATTAGGTAATTATCCCGAAAACTTATTTAATAAAACTACCTACAGGCAGATTTTTGGTTTCTTTTAGTTTTTTGTTTGGAAGGAATTTCTGGAAATTCTTTTTAAAATCACAAAGAAAAATCTTTCCGTTGAGCGATTTTGACCAAAGTGCTGTCGAAAATTAACAGCAGTTTCTTCAATTATAGGGAAATTCCACACCTACATATTTTAAAATTGAACTGACACAAAAAATATCACTATTTGAATAAAATTACTGCTACAGTTTGGAATGGAACTCACTAAAAGAACGCACAGGGAAGCTGAGATATTGCATGTTAAAACTCAAGAATTTTTGTCAGCATTCTTGCCAGCTTTTGCAAGAGATCTGGGCGACTTCTCATTGAAGTAATATGTAAGTAACAATTATATATTTTTGAAAAGATTATACTGATATAAATAATGCTGCGTAACTTTTCGCTGATCATGGAACCATGCTGCTAAATACTTAACTGATTTTTATAAACCGTTAACTAAGTAGAGCAAAGATTATATTATTATATCATGAACGTGTTATAATATATTGGCCAACCCTAAATTAATATTTCATCACCATGATATGTCTTAACAAGCAATTTAACAAATTGTATTAGATGTAACAGGAAATTATTATGCATATATATATTAATATGGATGCGCTTAAAAGATTAATTATGCAATTAATAGCATATAAATAAATTAATATATCATCGAAACGATTTATTTCATATAGAATTCCGTTTTTCGTTGTTTGATTGCTGAATATAAAAAGCATAATAGATGCTATTCATTGTTTTCATTTTAAAATGAAAATTACAAATGGCATTCAGCAGTGCACTTAACTTACGGTATTGTTACGAGTTTTGCACTTAGATAGATAATTTTAATGAAATTGTATGTGAAATTGCTGTATTTTGCTGTATAACGTAACATGAAAAGCTAAGAGAAACGATACTCTGACGGAAAAATAAGAATACAAGGATAAGTCTGTTTAACATTGAGTTAATGGCCTACTAGCTAATTTGGCGAGATATCGCCAAGCTAGCAATGGTTTCGGTAACTAATTTTTATCGCCAAATTTGGGAAGAAATAACTGAAAGTTTCCAAACTTGGCGACCGTTTGGTTTGGTCCCTGTGCAACTGATATGAATATTATAATTAAATAACTGTAATTGATGCTCTGTGTAACTGTAACCGTATTCGGCCCTCATGTGCCCTCCAGTAATTTCGAGAAGTACTAGATGTTCCACGGCGACCGGGTGAAATCTATATAAGATCCAGAGAGAAAATCTGCTCTCAGATTTTTGTTTAGCGTGGTTCGGACGAGTATTAAGGTATCTCTGTGTTAGCTTCGCTCTTCAGATGCGTTTTCCACTGAGTTGTGTTTAACGTCTTTTGCAGTCAGAACTGTGCAGTGTTTCTTTTGGTAAAATAAATTTTATCAAGCTGTCATCGGTTTTGTGCGCAATCAATCTTCTACGAACCTGTACGTACGCAATAGTATTAATTAGTGTATGGCATTTTGGTCATAATCAGACATTAGACATTTGACGAATGAGATTTAATTTTGCCGAGGTATGTAATAGGAATAATAGGAATTTAATATAAACCTTAACGAAAGAAAGAAAGCAGCAGTAAATTTTTCAATTAGTTGCTGCTGGTTTATTTTATAATTGCCCGTAAGTTCAACTAAGGAGTAATTTATAAATAAGAGTAACTTAACCTTCTGTTGTCGTCTTATTTGAGAAATACGCAATTAAAACTATACTTATTTTTAGAAGCTAATGCCTGTTTTAATTTAACCTATTTTAGAAATAAATATGGTATTTCGTTGTTATAGCGGCTCCCAACTGTATTTGGCGATTTTAGATTTGTGCCAAGATATCAGCTATAATTTCCTCAACCTCGTGAAGCGCGAATGTAAAAATAAACAACACGGTATACAATAATAACAATAATACTCACAATACCGTTTCCTAAGAATATTTTTAATCCTTCATCTTCTCCTTATTATTATTATTTTATCGCCTGTGATTGTTCCAGTCAACTGCAGCACTTTCACATATATTAAGCTGTTTGCTCAACAACTTCATCGACATCAACTCCTCTGCCCAAGGATACATAAATCTAATAGTAGTGATGAATGATATTCTGGAATCGCTGAACCAATTTCTAACACGGGGTCCCTTCTTCTTTTTGCAAATTTTAAAATTGCACCTCCAAATGGTTTCGTCGTTAACAAAAAGTTTCATGTTGTGACCATTTTCGCATACTCGTTTGTCAAGTGAAAGACCTCTTTCTTGAAAAAAATGGACGGCGGTAAAATTTACTTATATTATTTTAATTATTAGCATGTTTTAAGCACGTGCAGGTGCTTGTAACAATATTAGATTTAACCATACCATAATTCCTAGTTGAGAAATCGATTGTTTGAGAAGACCAAACCTGTGCTTAAATTGTATGAAGATAAAGGCAATGAAAATGTTTATTTTAAGCTGAATGAAGTTCGAAACATGTGTGCAGCGTCTTAATAATTTCAGATGTTAATTAAATTATTAAACATCTTATAGATAGAGAATGGAAACATAATAATGGGGCACGTTTTTTCTAGTCAAATGCAGCTTTCAAAACAAATAATCAATTCCGACTGAGTATAATAAAATTTTTTATTTTATATTAGACATAATAGGTAATTAAATAATTTTGTAACAGTTATACAGAAAGCTGAAAATAACAACTTCAAATTAAAAGTTCAATATGTTTTAGATTTTGAATTTAAAAAAATTGAAAATACGCAAAACATTTATTTCGGCCCTAAAAATTAAGTGTTGGTATTTATTTGCATGATATTCACCCTTTATAACAGCCTCCAAGTTTCATGATACCGAACCGCAAAATTTTTGAGTTACGTGAAACTATTTTCCTGAAAATGTATTTTGAATCGTTGAATTCTTAATCATACACTATTTTATTGCATATTTTAATGCACATTAATCATTAGGTTGAAACCGGCTTTCTCTTATTATTAGCAAATAATGATATAAAAATAATTTTAAATCAAATTCCCTGATTTAATTCTGACACTTTCGGTTAATGGTACAAAAAGCTACCTAAAAATGGCAGGTGGCCAAACTACAGCTGCTCATAAAAAGATTCCAAAATTAACTCTGCAATGCTACAACAAATAAGTCAACCCTGAAATAACGGGTTTGAACTGGTGACAATAATGAGCCAAGACTTATCTCAGTAAAAGTAGCCAATCGACAACTTTAGCTTTCTTTTGAAGATATAGTTGAAAACGAAATACTGCAAATTCATAACTAATTCAGGTATGTTAATATTAGCGGCAATCTTTAAATATTATATCTTAATTTTTTTTCGAAATGTTGTGGAATTGAGCAATTGTAAGTTCAAAACTAATTGTTGCGCGTTTCATTTAGGGGTCAGGAGGTGAATTGCATGTATCGGAAAGGATTATTCGATGGTGAAATTCATTTTGTAATAATTTCTGTTTTAAATTATAATACATTTGACTGAAACATGTCTTTGTATACTTGAGTGGTAAAATATTACCTCCAGACGATTCTGACATTTTCTGATAATGTTAAACCATGCTTTCTTTGAAAATTCCCTTAAACCGTAGATGAAAAACAACTTCATGAAATGTTGAAGAAAACCTGATTGAAAAGAAAACTGTCATTCCTATCTGTTGAGAACTTTAATTTATTCTTCCTTATATCCTCTTCAGAAGGTCATCTTAGCAGACAAAGTGCAATGGTTAATCTATGTAACGACCTAAACTGTCACAATTATCTCATTTAAAAGATTTCAAGATAATGAAGACAGCCTTTTCTTTCCGGTAGGAGTACTGAATTGGCGTGGAAAGCATTGCATTCCAGTATAATTTTTGTAAGAAATTAAAGGTAATTAATTACGGATAAAGGCACAGGCATGCTGTAAGGACTAGTAATTTAAGTGTAAGATGATATTTTATAAATTTATATATTTAGAAATGTCTGTTTCATTTTGTAAGCTGTTTTTAAGTAAAATTTGCTTATCGTATGAAAGAAGTTTTATCTTTTAAACTTTGTTATACTCTCAATTAAATATTTTTGATTAAAAAAAGGTAACTGAAGCTGCTTATTCGTTATTATTGTCGTTTACAAGTTCTGAAAAATTTCGTTCACAATGTCTTCAGAGTTTTCCCTAAATATTGTCGTTTGCCGCTGCTTGCGGTTTTAGGCCTTGAGCGATATAAATCAAACAATTTAGAAGAGCCTTTAGGCATCAGATATTTATTATGCTACATTTACGTCAAACTGAAACCCTCTAAATGGCATCGGTCACGGTTAATAATCTATTACTTATTTTCTGTGTTTTAAATTAATTTCAGACTAATGGTAGAATTAATTTAATTGTATATTTATCATAAATGGAGATTATTTCGAATGATCTTCGATGGAATTCACATATATGCACTTATAGTTTAAAGTTTCCAGATTTACATTTCAAAAAAGGGCTTTAAATATTTGTATTGTATTTAAAAATAATATTTGTTTTTAAGTCATGAAGCTTTTAGCTCTTTCTTATATTAATTGAAAATTTTAAAAAATTAGCTGTTAAAAAGTATGAAATCTATTTCCTTTTATATTACGTGGTGTTAATTTTTAGGCTTAATCATTTAGAGTTTTGCTCAGACAATTATCTTTTTATTAATATTTGGACAAAAGTTGTGATTATTACACCGAATCTTTTATTTTGTTACCAGAGAGATTCTGTTTGCAAATTTAACTTCTTTCATTTGGAAATTAGGTAACTTTCAGCAAATATGAGGTAAAGATAAGAAAGTTAACGGTTTGCTCCTAAAACCGATTAAGCTGAATCTGGTAAGCAAATAGGAATCTTACAAAATAATTATCACTAATATATTTTATAAGTTGTACCAGTGAATGCAGAAGTTTCAGTGGATATTCTATGAAATTTACGTTTGTACTGTAAATCAGTAATAAATGTAGTTTCTAATCATATTTTTATTGTATTGTGTTTGATAATATAGTTAAAACTGAGTGTCTTGGTGACAATGTTCATCTTCTCCGAGTTCATCCTTGAATTTTACCAAAGCAAGTGCATATTATACTGCGTATACTGCAGTCTGTTACGCATACTCTTTCCAGAAGTGTTATTTGACCATGTACAGACAAACAATAACAATGAAAATTTACCAAGCATCCTATTCGATCGTAGCTTGTTTCTTGAGAAATTCCTTTCATATCTTGGTCTTCTTTGAAAGTGTGCTGAAGATTTCTGCTTTGATATTATCCTGAAGATACTTAAGGAATAATTTCTGGAAGTGTTGTAATGCAGCCGAAGTGTTAAAGGCATCACTGATAAATAGTCTCATTAAGCCCAATTTGATGTGTAGCGATGACGTTAGTACGTTCTGGGGATAAAAATGATTTTCATTCAATAATTCTTACAAAAAAGTCTGCAGTTTTTCCTTTTAGTAGTACTGTGCCTTACTGTCCCTGTTGTACCAACAGCAGCAGTAGCAAAGAAACTTTCTGAAAAAAATTTGCAGACCCTCAAGTATGTAACCAGTTTGGTCTCCAGTGTATTCACAGGTATAGTCGCTACTGTATTGATAAAATTGCGAGAGACATAGCCAACTAATTTTTTGGGTTCCATGCAGTTTCGAAGGAAATTTGTACATTTATTTCGTAGTTCGTAATGAACTAATTTAGTAGTAGCATGGTCATGTGATCAATGTGTAAAATAAATCACATCAGAGTTGTATGTGATCCTCTCTTTTCAAATGAGAGTGACTAGATGACAGAGTTGTTGCAGTAACTAGGTACACTGCGCAAAAGAAAACAAAACGGGACAGTTTTATATCTTCCGTTCTACTGAGCCGATTGACGAAATTCAAATTGTGTTTTCCATGTCTCGAAAGCGTGGCATAAGATATATATTAGATTTATATATAGCTTTGTTCTAATATAGGTATTTTGACACAAAATATGACTTTTTCTGAAATAACGTAACAATTTTTTTCCATATTTCGGTTTTACGACTTGATTTATTCCTAAATATCAACGTAATGACCAGGATGTAGAATTCAAACTACATTCAGGATACAGTCAAGATACAATATACAAAATTCAACCTATAACAATAAATACAAATACAATATGCCTTACAAGAATTACAATAAATACAAATACAGAGAAGAATTCCGTAGAAATGTAAAATCAACAAGATTCGAAATAAGATAAGTGGTAAAAGTAAAGGCAATCACCGACCGAGGAGCTTAAGTAAGAAAGTTTTGGTCGCCATCGATGATAGTATATGCAGCAAGAGAGCTAATGTTTCTGTTTTCATAAAGTATCTCATAAATTAAAACTTGAGCATACTTGACAAAGTCACACTGGATGACCTTAGTAAAGAATTTCTCGTTGTCCTTTTGATGTATTCAGTAAAACTGGGATAGTTTCAATTTTTAAATCCCTATGTAGGAGTTAATTTCTGACAAAGTTATTAGCATCAGTAATAATTCACAGGAATTTGTTTTGAACCACTTGCAGTTGGTAAAGTTGATTCTTCACTGCAGTGTTCCATGCAGGAGCAGCGCAACATAAAATGGGCTTGATGCACGTAGTGTAGATATGCTTCTTGGTGCAAAGGCTCTGATTAGAATATTTCCCTATAACAGGAAGAAATCTGCTCATGATACCAATGTATTTACTTTTGACAAGGGAGGATAGTTGGATTGCAACGGTATTTATAGTAAAATGTTTCGTTAATCTGATTGGCTAAAATTTATGGACAATGCAAGGAGTTTAAGATGACATAATGCGGAATTAGTTTTCAGATATCACGCAGTTTCGAGAAAGTTATTATTAGAGAAGAAGTACCTAAATTAAAAACGAGCAATTAAAATTTCTTTTTCAAATTATCATTTTGATTTTCATATTTTTATCCTACATATATAAATTCGCTCTCAGCGATGACGATTATTTTCAGAGTTGATAATCTTACGGTGAACATCGTTATCGGAAGGTTCTTTGCTACATTATTAAAGCTCAAAATTTCAGCTAAAAATCATATATATTAATGGAAATTTTCAAAAATAGTGGAATTTCAATTAGTTGGAATAAAAGTTTCTTACCATTAGTTGTTTCTTCTAAACCATGTTTATTTAAAAACAAATTCTTGGTTTAAATAATAAGAAGAGTTAACAAGCAGTAGAGTAAATACAGCAAGTCCTGTGACAGTGAGCACGTTTGAAAATGATTGGTATTTCTAAGAAGTAAATAAACATCAGGGCACTTCAAGTTATGTCTCCAGGAAGATTGTTTAACTAAGAAGGTCGAGAACATAAGTAATCCTGGGCTGTGGTCTTACATAATGTCCTTTGTATTTTGTAAGAAGTTATTAAATTTGTTTAAGTTTTACCTTCTGTTTCATTAATATACAACAGACTGCAGTCATTAATTTCTATCATTCAATTTGGAATACGTTATTTATTTTAGTATATTTTTGTTTCTAATTCCTGAGAAAATTTCTGGTTTTTTCATTGAGGTTTAATTCGTTTTGCCGGAATAATCCTTGCCGGAGTAAAATAAAAAAAATATAAAATGTTTTCTTGCACTGTAGTAAGTATGATTTATAAGCTAATAACAGCCCAGTATTGTCCAGAAAATTTGAATTTCCATATAGGTAAAATTAGCAATAAAATAGGTAAAGTAAATATATGATTAAATAATTATTAAATATATTATTAATAATTATTATTAAACAAAATTATAATTAAATATATTATTATAATTAAATTATTAAATATATTATTAAAATAAATAGGTAAATAAATATATGATTATCTGGAACCTATCAGAATTAATAATCTATAATAATAATGATTCTATTTATTTCATAAACTTTTTTGGAAGAAATTTCTGAGTTAAATTAAAAGTGATTTTATTAATACTTCTTAATTTTCTCATATCAATAGTTTTTACGCACTTTTATATGCCATATTTCATAGCATTGTAAAATATATAGGACCATTAGGTTATTTTTAAGCAGAAAAGGTGAACAACGGGCAATGCCCTCGCCGGGACTTGATCCTTAACCTCTCGAATATGCGCCGAGTGTGCTACCGTTAAACTACGAAGGCATGTTGGAAGGAGGAAGAAAATACCTTGTAAATATATACTTAAATTTATTTTAAAGAGGTAAAATTTAATTTGGTTAATAATGGACTGGAAACCGCCAGACGGTTAGGGGAGCCTGCTGTGGTACCAAGGAGCCTGGGTTCGAATCCCGGAGAAGGCATGGATGTTTGTAAATGTATACTGTCTTTGCGGCATGGGGGCACTCTAAATATATGGCGAGCCGAAAGTTCTCTTGTGTGGTTTGGTGATGGGAGACCCTCGCGGTGGAAGTAGAAGTCCAGCTTCCTTGAGGCTCTGGCAACCATTCTTCCATAAAATATATGAACAAGAGAATAATATAATGAAGCTGAATTTTACAAAAAAGTTAAGTAAAATAAAAACTTCGAAATTTGCATTTTATTTTAAAGTACAAAATACAATAATTCATAATGAAAGATAGTTTGGGAAACTCAATTTGTGCGAAAAAATTCATGTTTTAAATTGTGACAAGATTTAACCTCAGATTAATATAGTTTTAATGATAAAACTATACACTATATTCTATACATACTGATATGAGTCTATCGAAATGCTGGTTGTTAAAAGAACATACGTCAATCTTACTTAATTTTTATCTATTTTTAAATTTCAGAACGACATGTTTTTATTGCATTTATACGTATTACAATCCAATTTATTAAAAAGGTGTCAAACAAAAGGACTAGACTTTCCGCGTTTGATTGATTGTATCATACCTGTTTATTTAAAGGAAAATTCCAGTTGAATAGATTTAACATAATTAATGTTAAGTTTTGCGAAAGCAACAGCGAAAAGTTGATTCAATTAATGTATGTAAGTAATTCCGAAGCACACATCACGCATATTTTGATTGTGTTACTGAATTACGGTGCAAAATGAATAATTCTAATCAGTGTCACAAAAAGCATTGAAAACAGAGTATTGAAGCCACAAAAATGCGACCGACCTATAATCTTGTAACGTATATCGTTAAATCTTGGTAATTTTAAAGATTTTTAACAGGTGAAATAATTTTTCAGATTTATAGAATTAGTGTGAATCAGATGTTTGAATACCTAAAATTTTTTCACCTGCTTCTAGGAAAAACTAAACTTTCTTTGGCGTCAGTAAAATGGTCAAAAGAGAAGAGGGACCTGATCAAGCTCGGTCATGGGCCATAGCATTTGCCGCATGTATTATCAACTCCGTTCTTTCTGGTATCAGCAGGACAACGGGACTTTTCTACGTGGCTCTGATTGAAACGTATGGTGTCTCCAGACTACAAGCAAATCTTCCTTTCACTTTACGGAACTTACTGAGGAATTTAGGAGGTAAATAAGAACTGTTTTTTGAAGCAAAATTTTGTTTTTAAGTGAAATTTTTACTTGTTATTTTCTTTGAAATTTTGCTCAATATTTTCTGCAACATTTTGTGTTAGAGTATGAACCTTTGCAATTTGTGCTTTTAAAGAACAGCTCGTGAATGATCTATAGCAAATTCTCGAGGACTATCCAGCTGATTGGGCAGAAGCTCTCATGAGTGAATTTTTTTAAGGAGAAAAATTTGGAATTACTTTATGATATACTAATATTATAGAATATTTTTATTATTTATTTTCAATGATATGTTAATATTATGGTATAATTTTAATATGTTTAATAAGACCCATTTTGTATTATTGTCAGCAATCTAGCAGAAATTCTTGCGTAACTTAATAATTAGGTATTTTATCTAGTTTTATATTTCATTAAGCTTATTCAGGTCAGTATAATAGACGAGTCAGTAATATAAGTATCAATAATCAATAATCAGTATAATAAAAAATAATATATAATAATATTTATATAATAATATATAATAATATTTTAATAATTAATATATAATAATATTTCTTTGGATATATTTCTAAGTAAAATAATACCAAATATAATAATGTTCAGTAAATTTACAAAGTCATGTATGTTCACCCGTATATTCAAAATTAATCCGTCGCCTACAATTGCACATGAAGAACTTTCTTTTTTTTCTCATTATGCAATAAATTTAAAAGCTAAACTTCGAATTATCGTAAAGCTTTGAAAGGGAAAAAATGCCTTTCATTTAACAAAACCAAATTTGGAAAAATACACTTATCCAAATACTATGTTGAATGTGTCTAAAAATTACCTGTGGAATGTTTAGTGCATTTTATTTGCTTTACATGATATGAAATATTCGTAAATATAAATGCTGTTTACACACTTTTTTAGAAAATTTGAAAAGATTAAAAAGCAATGATTTTTAATAAATTTTTTGCACACTTATTATAAAACGAGATTCGTTTGCCACTTTAAAGTTATTCTTCTTTCAATGTGGCAAGTAAGCAAGCTGTGGATTTATTCGGTGCTTACTGCAGAATGGATGAGTATTTGAATCTGGATTTCTTTTATCAGTTGGAGCGAAGAGATAAAAAATGTGTTATTGAGTGGTGTATGGAGAAAGGTTTGATTGCAATATCGTATAAGTGCCCGATTTGTGGAACAAATATGAAACTAGTAGAGCGAAAAAACCGTATAGACGGTTTTGAGTGGATGTGCAGAGTTACTGGAGGCGAATGTAGGCATCGAATTTCAAGATCAATTCGAAAGAACTCCTGGTTTGCGAAGAGTAAATTGAGCATGTGTGATGTTTTGCGAGTTACCTATATGTGGTTGGGTAAGTGCGGGAATGATTTTATACGAACGGAATTACGTATTGCTAAAAATACGGTGACAGATTGGAAAAGTTTTTGTAGAGAAGTATGCATGGAGTTATGTTTGAAGGAGAATGTTAAGTTGGGTGGGGAAGGTGTCATTGTCGAAATCGACGAAAGCAAGTTTGGCAAGCAAAAGTATCATAGAGGGAAAAGAGTCGAAGGAAAATGGGTTTTTGGTTTGGTTGAGAGAGGAACAGATAAATGCGTCTTTAGAGTTGTTGAAAACAGAGGTGCCGAAACATTGCTAGGAAATCATTAAAGAGAATGTTCTACCAGGATCGATTATTATATCCGATTGTTGGAAAGCGTACGACTGTCTCGAGTTCGAAGGGTATGCGCACCTGAAAGTCAATCATAGCTTGAGTTTTAAAGATCCAGAAATGTGGTGCGCAATGCCGAGTTTGTGCAATTCTGGGATGTTTTTTTAAGTGAAAATAGGTTGATGTGCACATGGGCAAAGCCAATGTGGTGCGCTATGCCGAGTTTGTGCAATTCTGGGATGTTTTTTTAAGTGAAAATAGATCGATGTGCACATGGGCAAAGCCATGTGGTGCGCAATGCAGAGTTTGTGCAACTCTGGGATGTTTTTTTAAGTGAAAATAGATCGATGTGCACATGGGCAAAGCCAATGTGGTGCGCAATGCCGAGTTTGTGCGCGATGCCGAGTTTGTGCAATTCTGGGATGTTTTTTAAGTGAAAATAGGTCGATGTGCACATGGGCAAATCCAATGTGGTGCGCAATGCCGAGTTTGTGCAACTCTGGGATGTTTTTTTAAGTGAAAATAGATCGATGTGCACATGGGAAAAGCCAATGTGGTGCGCAATGCCGAGTTTGTGCAATTCTGGGATGTTTTTTTAAGTGAAAATAGATCGATGTGCACATGGGCAAAGCCAATGTGGTGCGCAATGCCGAGTTTTGTGCAATTCTGGAATGTTTTTTTTTTAAGTGAAAATAGATCGATGTGCACATGGGAAAAGCCAATGTGGTGCGCAATGCCGAGTTTGTGCAATTCTGGGATGTTTTTTTTAAGTGAAAATAGATCGATGTGCACATGGGCAAAGCCAATGTGGTGCGCGATGCCGAGTTTGTGCAATTCTGGGATTTTTTTTAAAGTGAAAATAGGTCGATGTGCACATGGGCAAATCCAATGTGGTGCGCAATGCCGAGTTTGTGCAACTCTGGGATGTTTTTTTAAGTGAAAATAGATCGATGTGCACATGGGAAAAGCCAATGTGGTGCGCAATGCCGATTTTTGCGCGATGCCGAGTTTGTGCAATTCTGGGATGTTTTTTTAAGTGAAAATAGATCGATGTGCACATGGGCAAAGCCAATGTGGTGCGCAATGCCGAGTTTGTGCAATTCTGGGATGTTTTTTTAAGTGAAAATAGATCGATGTGCACATGGGCAAATCCAATGTGTGCGCAATGCCGAGTTTGTGCAACTCTGGGATGTTTTTTAAGTGAAAATAGATCGATGTGCACATGGGAAAAGCCAATGTGGTGCGCAATGCCGAGTTTGTGCAATTCTGGGATGTTTTTTTAAGTGAAAATAGATCGATGTGCACATGGGCAAATCCAATGTGGTGCGCAATGCCGAGTTTGTGCAACTCTGGAATGTTTTTTTAAGTGAAAATAGATCGATGTGCACATGGGCAAAGCCAATGTGGTGCGCAATGCCGAGTTTGAGCAATTGTCTGATTTTTCTTTAAGTGAAAATAGATAAATGAGCACAAGGACACCGAGTTTGTGGATTTCTTTAATGTTTTTCGAGCGAATACTGATCATTGAGTAAAAGGGAAAACGAGGTTGTGCGTGATGTCGAGGAGTAATGTGACTTTATTTATGTGCAATGTTTAACATATCGTTTGTGTATTTTAAATTTGTATTGTTGTTTTAATTGTGAATTATATTTAAGACATAATTTTTCATTTAAAATTTAAATTGTATTTTTAATTTTTTTGTTTTTTTGATATGTTTATAACGCTTTCCGATTTACGATATATATGGATAGTCCGACGATCGACTCAACAGTAGCAAAACTGTAAACTTTAACGCTTGAAGTAACGTTTACCTCATATTTTAATACGTAGTGTTTGGTATCGTAATTGCAAATAATATGTGTGTGTGTGCGTATGTGAAGCATTGCTTAGTGTTCCAAGTTTGTAGTATTTATTTTATTATATTATTTTCTTTCATTCTGAGAAATTAGATTTTTTTATTTATTAATGCGTAGAATTCTAGCATGCCTGCACAGAATATAGCGTGATAATGGAGTCTGTAAAGTAATGGAAGAAGAATAGAAATCAATACTCTTAAAAATTTCATGAAAAGCCCTTCTATCATGAGAATCTTGATGTAAAAGTCCAGAAAAAATGCTATCAGATTGAACATTTAGAAAATAATCTTTACATTTTAATCGATAATTCAACGACTCCGAAATCATTCTAAAATGCATAAAGCCTAGTTGTAGATTGTCGTTTTTTGAATTTCATGTATTCAGTTGGAAATGTGCGTAAGGTTTTGCAAAACTATTTCAAATTTTCCTTCTTTTTGAGTTTATATAATGGTTTTAAAAATTTCAAAACTAACACGTATTATGTAGAGTAAGTATGATGGTTTCTTTAAAAAATGTAAATGAGAAAGAAAAAATTTCATTAAAATTAAAATTCCAGATGTATTTAAAATTCGTGAAATTTCCAGGTCCTTTGGTTGGAGCCATCGGTCAACGGTATGGTCCGCTATCTGTGACAATCACCGGCTCGTTTCTTGGAGCTCTTGGAATTATACTTTGCACTTTTGCTCCAAATGTCATTTGGATTTGCGTATTGTGGGGAGGAATGCATGGTAACAGTTTTAACCTAATTGTTTTTTTTTATGTTTATGGCAGTCTTTTTTTTGTATTTATCATATGTAACTAAAACTATGTTCTGTTAATGTATTTATTAGATTAGTTTTGTTATTTTGTCAAAACAGCAAGTAATTAATATAATTTTTGTGTCCTTAAGTATTTTCATTTCCAAACGTTTGTGTTAATCGATGTACATATATATATATGTGTGTGTGTGTGTGTGTGAGTGTGGGTGGGTGTAAGTTTAATTCTTTATATTTTATACGGATGGATGTTAACGCAATAGATAAATATTAAATTTCTGTAAAAAATTCGATAAGAATTTGTAGATAATTATTTATTATTTATTAAAAGTTATTATATTGTTATATATTTCTAAATACTTGCTTGCATACATTTTTTATTTTAAAACCTTATATTAGGTTTTATAATTTTATCATGGCGAGTTCATCCTTGTGAAACGTGTCATTTCATGACAACATTGGAATTTTGCTATTTTGCTGTCTGCTAGAAAAACCCTAGACGTGGATACATTGATCATTTGTTTCTAGAAGGAAATGACGATCATCAGTAAGCATTACATATCCCCCACCTGCGTTCGTCTTAGTTCCTTTGGGCCTCTGGGCAAATACAGCTGTTAATATGTTGATGTTGAATATGGCATAGCGATTAGCTTTCTGTAAACGTCTGGAAGGCCATTTAGGCACGAAGCTGCTGCTACGTGTGTTGTATAATGGAATGATTTTTTAGGCACGAGGCAGCTGCTACGCGTGCTGTATAATGAATTGGATCACTGAAAATTCCATATATGCCATTCTCATAATGTTTCCATCCACTCTTTTGGTGGTCTCCATTTTCCTCCGTTCTCCATTATCTGTGGGTATGTTAAGTGGCTATTGCTCTAGTATCCCCGGATGATAAGATCTATGTCGCGGTTTATACTCCGGGCAGACCTTTCTATAGTTTTCAACTTGATGATAAGCTCTTTCCTGAAGTCCAAGAATTGAGCAAATCGATATCTCTAGTCCTCGATGCCACTCTATCTTTTCAGTTCATGCTCTTACTTGCGCTGGTTGATGATTTTCGTTTCATGTGCTTATAGAAATCCACTTAGCACTCCATCTATAAGTTAGTCGTTACTATAATATCTTCGTGATAATCTCAGTCATAAAAAGGAGTAGAATGTCTTCAGAAAATCAGAGTAAACATCATCTATTTTGTATCGTGGGATACAGTTAAGGATACTTCTGTGATTATTCGATTATAAGTCAATGTATTTTTAAGAGACCAAGGCCTAGAATCATCATAAAGCCTAGAATCATCATAAATCAATCATTTATGATGATTCTAGGCGTCTTGTTTCGCCCTTTATTTAGAGGTTACATTTTAATTTTTTTCTTTCTCGCTGAAGCTGCCTTCTGGCGACGCAAGATGGCGTATCTAATGGACAACTATTGCCTGTTAAGGAATATACTCATTATCATTCTATATGTCTTCCCTCTGGTGCATATTAAAAGTTAATCTATAATATATGATTACCCTCAAATTTTTAAGTTGGGTGTCAAGTGGTATGAAACGTCTATGAAAGTGATAACACCAATATGATAATTTGACTTATTTTTTCCTAACAATCACGATTTTGCTTTCAAATGTTTTAGTCTTCTAGTTGGAAATCACCAGTATAGTTTATACCGGCAGTTCTGAAACTGTTCTACAAACTCTTACTAAGATTTCGTGAAAAATTATGAGATAAAAGTGAAACATCATCTGTGTTTATGTACTTAACACAACTTTAAAAAGAAATTAACTACAAAACATAAAGCAAAGTGGACTAAATCACAGGCGTAATGAATTTAAAACGTAGCACGGCACCAGATGGCTTACAGTGGCAACTAAATACAAGCGAAAAGTATTTCTGTTAGTGTTTCTGTTCCATGCTAAGAAGTAAAGAAATGTTTCTGTGGTACTTTAGTGTTTTAAAAGTGTTATTTTCTTTGGACTTTTAAATTTTTTATTTTATTTTGTTTTTGAAATTGGTGAATTTAATTAATGAATTATGTTAGTGTGGCGGAAAATACTGTGAAATTAATACATAATTTATATTAACCAACGGTTTGAAATTAAAAACAACGGAAGCAAAAACTTTTAAAACAAAACTGAAATGAAGGAAATTAGTGCAAATAAAACAATAGTCATAAAAATATTTTTAATAATTAATAGTAACTGATAATTTATTGATCTCTATAAATGCAGTATAAATGCAGCGAAAATTAAGACTGCGTAAGGACTTTTATGTACATGCTCTATGTTTAGCGTAAAAATTTATTTTTATGTTATAAAAATACATTTATGCAAAAAGTCGTGTAATAGAATAACTACTTTCAATTATCGATAGATAATAATTGAACAACTGCTAAAATTAATATATATGTTGTTTAAAATCATAAATCTGCAATACTTGACTAGGAAGGAGGAAAAGACATGTTTAAATATTTTGCGCCTCTTTGATTTAAAAAAAAAAGGGGGGGTTTCCAGCGTTTGCTTTATAAAACTTGAATACGTCTCAGAGAATAGCCATCTCAGTATTATTTATTAAATATTGAGTATATATTTGTTATTATAATTACAAAATTCATATGCTTTCCGTTAAAAGTAATTTATAAAGTTTTGTTAAACTGTATGAGTCTCTTATTATTTGCAGGTTTCGGAGTGGCATTGGCTAACACGTTATTTCAAATAGTCGTAAATCAATATTTCTTGAAGTACCGTGCAACTGCTTCGGGATTTGCCCTTTCAGGAGCATGCATTGGAGCCTTTCTTTTCCCTATATTGATAGAATACTTATTAATAAATGTGGGATTGTCAGGAACCTTTCTTCTCACTGGAGGTATTATTATGCATGCGCTACCAGCATCCCTTATGATAAAGGAGCCGCCATGGATCAAACGAAATATTAAACAGCAAGAAGAACCTCCGATTCCAAACAAAACTTCATATATAAAAGCAAAATCTAGTCATTATTCTCAAACGATGTCAATGATATGCGAAGAATCGGTCATTCAAGAAGGAAAACCAAATGGTATTTATGTTATCGATGCAAAAATTAATTCATCGGAATCATCCGGAACTTACGAAGGGAAAGTTTTAGAGGACCAGTTTTTTCAGACGTATAACATGGATAAGTTTAACAAAGAGAGTGGAATTGATAATCCTTCATATGATGGTTCAAAGATCGATCTGAATGAGAGAACTGTTACCGAAAAGGTATTTAACATTAGCATGTAAAATTACAAAAAAAGTACAGGGCTGTTCAAAATGACTGATCCGATTTAAAAGCATCTTGTTTCTAATATATGTAAAGCGATAAGTAACATATAAAATAGAAGAGAAAGAGTAGAAATTTTACTTATGGGCATTCTATGTAACTTTTGCTTAACTGCAACATAAGGCGAATGCTCAAATGATCAAGCCACTCTTTTTTCAATCATACCTTTTATAATTTCTGCACAGAAGCAATTATATTTGATTTTTGAAATAATGCATAGCTGTCATAAAAAGTCTAAATGATCTAACATGTTTATTATACCTACAAAAGGAAACTCTGGCATACGATTACACTAATAATGGTATACCAACAATAATGTTATTCCAACAGTAATATATCTCAACGTTCATCTTAAAGTGGATGGCAAAATCTGAAGTGGGATTTCGGGTATATCGGGAAATTTTATGGCTAATAATTCCCTGAAAGTTTTGCATTTCAGAACTTATATTAACATTTAAGAAAAGAGTGGAAAACTAGACCCGAAGTAGTAAAATAAATAAAATTTAGGCGTAATGAGACAAGCTATAAACCCTTTCTAAAATGACCACCTTTTCTAAAATGATTTGTTATGTTCTATACAATTTTTCATCTAAACAAAAAATCGCTTTAAAAAGGTATTATTGCGTACTTATATTTATTTACGTTCTCCGAAAGATTTGCGTTTGCAATGGTGATTACGTCAAGGCGGTTGTCGCTGATGGAGATTTCAAAGTTCACGGTTAGGCTTATATTCATTACTATAAATTATTTGCAAATTATGATATGTTATCAATACCTTAACATGAAATTAACATGGTCCATACATGTCCGTGGATGGTGGCAAGTGGATGTCGTTTTGGTATTATACTGTACGCACACAGATTTCCTTCTTTAATGCTGGATCTTTGTAACCTTGTAACAAATTTTTTAAACTTAAAAATGGACATTCAGTATCCACACATTTATGGATAAAGACATTTAATGGAATTCAGCCTTAAGATACTTAAAAAAATTGTATTCTTTCGTATATAGGAAATCTTCAGGCTTTTGCTGGATCTGAAATCTTCAGGAGAAATTTAGGACTTAAAATTTGATATTAAATAAACAAAAGTAAAATTATTTTGTATCATAATTTTGTGTAAATTATGAGAAAGGAAATATCAAATTTAATTAAATATGGAAAAAATTTAAATTACAATACAGATTCGAAAAGAATTTAAAAAAATCTCTGAAATTCGTGAATTTATTTGATATTTGCGAAAGCTAAGGAGATTGCGTAAATTTGGCGAAAATAATCGAAAAAACTTGCTACGCTAAGGATTACTGATTCACTTATACTATCAAAGCTAGCTTTAAATTGTAAAGGTCGTTCAATTCATTGCAACGTTTTGAGCTCTTCCTCTGCCAAAGAGAAACTCCATTATAAATGTACGATATACTACCAAAATACTTTTGTGACATTCAAAAACTCGAAAATTTTCTTTCTCTCTGTATAATGTGTTCATGATTAATCTTAGAAAATAAAAGGTAAAAAGGCTTACCTTTTAATCGATCTTCTTTCTAATCCAAAGGCATATCCGGGATTGTTTTATTTTCATTCATCAAAGCACTACTCACAGAAAGAGAGAGGCTTCTAAGATAATAAGATATTTAATTTACAATCACATCACTAAACTAAAATATATATATAACACACAAGAGAAGGATTACATTTTTCACTCGAACGTCCATCACGATTTCTCAAAGATCAGTTAAAAAAAGTCTGTTTTAGTTTTTGCTGCGCGCATGCGCAAATCACGTGGTTTTCGGTGAGAGTTTCAACACTCTCAAATGTCTATCAAATTAATCTCATTAGATATGAAATTCCACTCTTCTGGAATTCAACCAGTCATTTTTAATAACCCTGTCATTTGAATAATCCTGCATGTTTGGTGAGATTTCACTCTAGAAGTTTATAGAATATTTGACTATGTTTTCATTAATGCTATGTTATTACATTTTTAGGAGGATACAACAAATTCCCTACGAATGCGAACTATTTCTATAAGTGATGTGAGTGTATCAATAGCAATGCCACCTGACAGTCAACAAGAAGTTTCTATCTACAAGGGAGTCATTAAAATGATTAGTGATCCAATGTTCCATATGATTAGTTTATCATTGGCCGCATTTGCCATGCTCTTTGATCCGTCCATAACTGTTATCGTGGACTACCTAAACGACAAAGGTCTTAAGGAAGATGTTGCCAAATATTTCATCAGTATGCTATCTTTGTCAGATCTTATAGGAAGACTTTGCTTTGGTTGGGTAACAGACAGGAATTACTTATCATTACCAAAGTTCATGATGCTCATACAAGTCTTACAAGGTATCTGCTTTTTACTCATACCAATCTTTTATTCCTTTGATGTTTTGATGACGCTGATCGTGATTTATGGAATGGCAGCTGGAGCGACTCTTGTTATGTTTCCTATATTAGTTGGCAAATATCTCATATCTGTGCAATCTTTGGCCATCGGTTGTATTTCGTTCCTCAGTGGTATGCTGACTTTTGGTATCCCACCACTTATAGGTAAGGAAACTCTTATACAAATTTCAAAATTAAATGCAGCATTATGTGTAAATAGCATGACAGCAACATAAATGTTGGCAGAATTAAAAACGCTAAATAATGAACACTGTTTTTGAACAGATCAGATTTAAAGGTTTCAGGCACACAAAATGTAGTTTTTAAAATTATAGAATACAGAATCATTAGCCAAAATTTCTTCAGTAGAAAATTGAGAGTAGATTTGAATTCATTAATTAAAAACGAAAAATATTTTTAATTATCAACTAATTATGAACACCTCGAGTTACTGAGGGCTGGGTTTTCCCTTCCTGACTATTTAAGGCGTTTTAATCATCATTGAAAATAAGATTTCCCTTCTTTCGGTTTTTTATGGAATTAGGAATATGCACTTTATACGCTTAAGTATACTGCAAAAACAAAAACCCAGTTCCATTTTATAAAGTGTTGTTCACACTGAAAATTATTATATACCAAGTGTTCCAAAAGTCGCGTACATCAAATTTTCAAAAGTTGTACAAATTCCAATATTAATGGCAAATTGTTTAAGAATATAACAAACACCCTTGTACTATTGCAAATAATGTATCATTTAAAGTTCAGTTGCAGTTTATGCTGTCAAAAAAAAAGTTTGTTTGTTTCAAGATTGAGATAAGTTTTCCTCAAGAAGAATGAACGTTTAGAGCTGAGCATTACCTCGAAAGTATAAATTTGAATTTGATGACATCTTTCTCTTACTCTTCGTTGGCGATGGCAACATTTTATTCCTGACTTCACCCATTTTGTCCGTATTCAGAAGAAACGGGTGGCCATTTTACTCTTCTAATTTCTTGAAATTAGGTTACAGAGCGGAAATTCATTGCCTTATTAGTTTCAAGAATACTTTGGAAGATCTCTTTATCTGCTTTAATAACGTTTCTGTAAAAATGTGTTGGAATTAACGTTCAGTCATACATATTAGTTTAGCTTTGGGAAAATTCCTCTCCATTGTGACTAAACAGTCGCTTTTTAAAAGTTAATAGCATGAACTGCAACTGAAATTTAAAATGATGCATAACTTGTGATAATATAGAGATATCATTCATTAAAACAATCCGCCATTAATATCTGTTACAAAATTTCCACTATTTTTGAAAATTTGATGTGCGTTACTATTAAATAATCCTTTATTAAGTATACTGGCTTGCATTGTTTCACTAAGGAATTTTAAATGGAATGAGAGTCGTAAACGTTAAGAAAATTGTATTTGAATGAGTTTTCAATGTGCCATTTTGGATAGAAATACATAAATTACCAATTTTTATACCCCAAAGAAATTTTACTGTACAAAATTTTTAACTGCAGTTATGACTGCTAAAGCGAGGTTCATCAGTAAAAGAATGTAAAATAACCACATAAAAAATAAATGCTCTATTTCGCAAATATCTCCATTGCTGAGCATTGCCTGTAGAAAAGCTAAGACGCCTGAACTCCTGAACTGCAGAAACAGCATTTTTGTAGGAGCCATTGCCTCATGTTGTTTCATAGCATGCTTTCGTATTGCAAGTGATACTAAATGATCTCTGTAAACATCCTGCTTTGGGTAACACCTATCATAATCGGAGGAGATCTGTTGGACGTTACCTTCTGAAACTGACAGTGTATTATTTCATTTGAGGCAAAGTCTGGGTTAGAGAGAGCAACGCAAGGCGAAAACACCATGGTACAAAATAACATGGTCGAAAATAAAGCGATTATAAAACTTCTCAGTTTAAAAACGTCTTCCTTGAAAATACCTTGGTAAAAAATAAAGTACCTTCAAATCATCGCATGATGATAACATTCCATATATGCATTTTCGCATAATGAGTTTAGAGCACAAGAAGGAAAGAGGGTGAAAATGTTAACGACACTTTAAGAATAAACGGAAACAAAACAAGATATAATTTGCACTAAAACAGTAACAGATTAACAAACGTGAAAGGAAATAATTTGATAATTAACTAAGCAATTTGTATAGCGGTAACTTCATGCAGTTATTTATCTTCCTTTTCTAAAAACATTTTCAGACCGTATTTTTCATGAAAAACTATCCATAAAAACTTTATAAAAAAGATGAATTTATTAATAACCTTTGTTAATTAACTATGTAAATTTAAAATTATATTAAGTGCTATAAAATTGCATTAATTTTCTACGTATTTTAAATGCTTAAGTTTCCTTCTTACTTTTTCAGCAAAAATTTATTAGTTCATTCAGAGGTTTGAAATATAGAAGTAAAAATATCCCTAATTCTTCTTGCATTCCCAGATTATTGGAAAATGTACTTACAATTTTAAAACTTGAAAAACGCATATGTGCGATGTTATCGTCATGCAATGATTTTATTGGTACTACTTTATTTTTTACTACGATATATTCGACTACAACGTTTTTGCCTTGTGTTGTTTTCTCCGCGACGTTTTCATCCGCGATGTTTTCTACGGACACCAAATTCTGAGTGTAAGAAAGAGGCACTATAGAATGATGTCCTATCCTGCATGAATAATATAAAATCCTATACTTGTTTTTCTTCTCGGAATAATGTTGTTTTGGATAAGCTAACATATTGCTCCATTTAACAGTATTGACAAAAGCAAAGCCATATATTGTGGATTCCAGGTTCTGTTAAATAGTTCTAAGGTCTTCTATTGTCTGGTAGATGTAACTGCAATATATAGAACACATAATGACATTTCTTATCCCTCCCCATGCAATTAATTTCTAAAAATTTATTAAAGTATTATTTTATTTACTAAATGATTGATTTGGCTCTTTTTGTTTTATTACTATTTGAAAGATACTTTAATGCCATGACTGGTAATTATTCTGGGCTACTATTTTATGTTTTCTCCTTTCTGGGACAGATGAAACTGTCATGGGAATTTTAAGCTAAGTATTTTATATATGAAGAGAATAAACTTAATAATAATTTTGTGTAAATTTTAACAAATCATTGCTTTTTCAAATGGCAAACGAGCAAACTAATATTATCCTCATAATTGAAAGCATTTTATGATGCCACATGAAACAGTGACATTATTGTCTACTTCAAAACAATATGTTTCATTTATATCTGATAGAAAAATTCAATTAAAATATAATTATTTTCTGTTGTGTATTACATGAAGATATTTTATGTGCCTATATTGCTTTAATACCTTAAAATTTGTTTTAAATTCACAGGTTATTTCAGGGATAATTTAGGTTCTTACGATGGTTTGTTCTACATAACTGGAGGGCTCTCTGTGGTTGTTGGTCTCATGTGGTTATTAGAACCTTTGTTGTTAAAGATAAACTTCAGACTTAAGAAACCTGGCCACAGTGCTTCAGTGGTTATTACTCCTTAGAAATTCCAAAAGAAGCTATTCGTTTGCTTGATGAAGATTGCCGATAGTGTGGAATTCAAGCAGACATATTAAACTATCCAACTGAGATTAACTGCATTACATCGAAAGATTCATCAAAGGAAAACAAGATTTACTCAATATTTTTTACTGAGACTTTATACATTTTACTACATGTTCAAGATTCCTATTTATATTTTAGATACGTCTTAACAAGCAAATGGCCTTTCGACTTATTTAAGCTTCTTATAAAAACTGAGATTGTTACGGAACAATAATTTCTGATTGAAATATGACAATATATGCATAAAAGTAATATCAGAACTAAAATACGATTTACAGTAAACATCTCTATATTAATTTTTGTAACTTTGCAGGAAATAATGGGAAAATCAACAGCTATCCAACACTATTTTGTAAATTAATGAAACCAGTCGTAATATTACAATTCAAGTCTTGCTATTCAGCTGTAAGGGCTTCTTTTTGGATTACAAAAACATAATGCTTTTCTATCAGCAATACGTATATATTAACTAGGAATTTAGAATTACCAATGAATTAAAAGTAGAACAAATACCTTCAATAAATTTTGCAATTTTTATCAACGAAAAACTGATAAACTGATTTACAATTTATTTTAGAAATACTGTGAACCCTCTCTAAGACAACAAGCCACAGTTCTAAAAGAATTTCAAAATTCTTTTATTAGATATAATTGAATTGGAAATATGACATTCAAATCCTACTTTTATTTATGTTCCAAGAAACAATAGTGACTTTCAGTTAAAGAGTTTTAAGAAAATTAACACTTGGACGAGCAAGCGATTAACTCTTGCTGATATAACATAGCTTGCAGAAATGAAATAAGATAATATAATTTGGATAGGTATTGAAAATGAAATGAAATAGATCTAAAAATGAGAAACACAGCTTCAAAATGCATAAACAGCTGTAACTAAAACGAAATGTCTTAAGCAATATAAAAGGTATAAAGTATTCAGGATATTTTATGCAGAATTTTAATATTTATTTTTGGAAGAATATTCAAAAAGCAAGAATTAAAAAAATAATACCCGCCTAATTTTAATCTAATGATAAATTAATTATAATCATTCCAATCTCTTTTATTATATAACAATTTCTGTAAGTTAAAATAATATTCATTGGTGTTTTAAACCTCCTGAACTGAACCAGATCATATCCATAAGTCTTATTGGGCCAAGAAACGAGAGATGCACCTAACCTTGGTTTATCTTGGGTACCTTATCAATGGCAGTACAAATTTGCCCAGATCTGTTCTAAACCCAGATCAGGTTTTGAAGGATGTCTCCGGAGGAGAGATCCGAGCATACTCTAATCCTTTTATCCTAGCAACTAGCTCTCGAGATAACTTTCGGTTCGACATTATTTTAAGTGCTGCTCAACAACAAAGACACCGCATTTACAAATATCAAAACCTTTCTTTGGAACTCGAAGCTGGCCTAAGGCGAATTCCCTGCCTCCATGATAATAGCGGGGCCACAAAACGTTTAGTTTATTTGATTATAAGTAAAGTCAGTGCAGTCAAACATTTTAGCAGAAGATTTATTTTTGAAGGTAATATAAGTAAGCCTGTATAATAGTTTTTTCATAATAATACATCGAGCCTTCTCTTGATAGCTTGACCTCTGAGTAACCAATATTTCTCACAGCAAAATTAAATATCATTGTTACCTGTTTGAGGTGGTTATCTGTATATATAAAGAAAAATGTGTGTTTGTGTGTATGTTCGCAATGAACTCATTCACTACCATAGCTATCATCATCAATTTTTCTACAGTTCTTTTCTGGATCCTGAGAAAGGACGAAGTCCCCTTTTTTCCAAATAAAATGGTTAAAATCAGAGATATTAATTAAACATTCTGAAATCGCTAACTTTCGCCATCATTTTTCTGAGTGGCAACAGTCTCGCACGCTGGAGATAAAAATATGCTTTATTTCGAGAAGAATTGCCACTGCTCGCTTTCAAATCGTAGATATTGTTAATAAAATATTTCTAAGTTATACAATGAAGGAAAAATACAAGTAGCATTGCCAAACTTTAAATACATTATCCACGATTCCAAAAATTCACGGGAAGCCATTTCGACTGTTCCCATCTTCGTACGACTTTAATCAGCCGAGATGTTAATTAAAAACTTTGAAAACACTAATTTTCGGACTTCTTTTGCCGAATGGTAAAAGTCTCCTGCGTTGGAGATAAAAATGTTTTAATTCGAAACGTGTTGCTACTGCTCGCTTTCAAATTCTAGAGTTTGTTAATCAAAACTTTTTACCTTTCTCAAAATCTATATATATAAATAAAAAATGCCTGTTTGTTTTGCGTTATTGATTTCTGATCAATTATGATCATTTTTTGGCCACATTTAATCAACTAAAATTGAATATAGGTGAAATATTGGATGGAACTTGAGCTTTTACGACCATTTGACTAGAAAGACGAAAATCATTTAAAACGGCGTGCCATTGTTGATGATATAATGAGAGAGAGAATTAGTTTATTTTTCTATGGAAATTTTTTATGTGCATTCCATATCGCATCAGATTTAAAAATGTATAACTATGAATCGCATTTTTTGCACCATTAGAGAAGGATTACAGCCGTATCATTTTCTCTGTTGTTAGATATATTACTCTCAATATCACTTAACTGACATCGGATACTTCCGCTAGTATCTAATAAAGATTAAAGTGTTTGGAATTGCGAATGGCCGTGTTAAAGAAGGTTCACTTAATTAATAAATATTCTTTCGAATAAGAAAGAAAAAATACATTAAATGCAAAATGGAAATTAAATACATAGAAATTAAAATACGTATTCTTTAGATATGACTTTAAAGAAGAAACCGAATTACGGAATGCGATGCTCTTTACAAAAGCAACATAACGAGGGGTAAATGTTACGCAGTAACTCTCAGATATTAAATTTTAGAATATTTCTGAATGCCAGAAATTCTGTATATATCCTATAAATATTATCATTAAAAGTTTAATGTAGTCATATGATGCAAATGTATTATATTAATACATTCCTGTATTCAGTTTAAGTAAGATGTGAAATATCAGAAATAAAAATCATAACTAATGACATTGTTTTATAATTTTCATTGTAAACATAAAGATTTTCAATATGTAAATCGATATTTTGTTACTGTAAAAATACTATTAAAACAATATATCTGGAATCATAATTTTATTATTTGGTTGCACATTAAAAAAATATCCGTTTTGAAGGTTAGCGTATTATTTATACAGCTATTTTCTCGATGTCACCCTAATTAGGAAATAAACACTTCAAAATATTGTCATTATTAAATTCGAAAATGAAAGTTCTTAAAGATGACAATTATCAGAAGATAAATTAAAAATGATAACTTAAATGTTATCTCTATATTACGTCGGGTGTTTTACTTGTAAACGATGTGAAGTTTGCTACAAATTTAACACAGGGGGATCACAGAAACACTTCCCCGGCATATGAACCCCTAGCACCGTATCCGCTCAAGTAAGCGAAATGAAATTTTAGGATATTGTTATCTGAAGGTATTTGCTAGAGATTGTAGTGATTTAAAACAAAAGCCTCTCACAGATGGTGAAAAAGAGTCTAAATTTTCGAATGGCAACACCCACATTTTTTCCTAGTAAACTGAGCGCATTGGAAAACTATACATTAAAACTATGAAAGTATGACTAAAATTACCGGCGTAAAATATATGCAAAACATTTTCTTTGTAAAGGACCAGTATAACATAAGAAAGGAAACGGAAAAAAACTTGGTACTTACGTATTAACGCAACCAGGCCAAAATTCGCATAAATCGCCAAATTTGACGACCCTGCTTACGGCAACCCTACATGTTATACGTAGTTTTGTATAAAGAATTTATTTTTAAAAAGAAAAAAAAAACAACACTGGGCGTGTACTACCACAGCAATGGGTTTTCGGTGGAATTTGCCGAGAAAAGAAAGAGACTTTTTTGGTTACTGTACCTAACAGAAGCGCCGTTACCTTCATGGAAAAAATTTTCGAAAATATCAAGGAAGGAAGCATCATTTATTCGGATTGCTGGAAAGGATACAATAAAAGTGAGTTCGAAAATGCTGGATTTCTGCATGGAACTGTTAATCACAAATATAACTTTGTGGATCCCAACACGGGCGTTCACATACAACATGTAGAGCGCATGTGGGGCTCAGCCAAATGGCGCAACAAAAAACAGAGAGGAACAGCCCGTCATCATCTTGACTCATACCTTATCGAATTTATATGGGCGCCAAGCTCAAGCTGTTAATGGCGAAGACGGTTTTTCAATCAGTGCTGAAAGCAATAGCCAAAGATTTCCGCCGAAAGAATAATTCTGCAACTTATTCAAATTCGAAACCGGAAGGGTTTAATTGCTATTTTATATTTTAAAACAAAATAATATAAAAAACTGTATTAAAAATTATCTGTAATTAATAAATGTACATTTTCTTTCTATTCATACTTTTTTACTCAAACTTACAAATCGCGCCAACCTGGTTGCGATAATACGTAAGTACCAAAAAGGGTTATTAGAATTATAATTTTTCGATGTCTACAACATTTCAAGATAGCGACCTTTCTCATAACTTAAGTTTCGTGGCCACTGCGATCCTCAGGAATCACTCCGATGGATTTCTGGTTCTGGGGTTAACTGAAATGTAAGATGTACACTGCGCTGAAAAAAGGGGACAGTTCTATATCTCTCGTTCTACTGGGCCGATTGACGAAATTCAACTTGCATTTTCCATCTCTCGAAAGCGTGACTTGGGATATGTATTAGATTTATATATAACACTCTTCTAATATAGGTATTTTGACATAAAATCAGACTTTTTCTGAAATAACATACCAATTATTTTCCCTACTACATTTAAATTACTCCAAACTACCAAGTTTTGTAAAAATCGCACGAGGAGTTTTTTTTATAAAAATTAGCTTTCAAAACTTTAGCTCCTCAGTGTTAATTGACTTTGGTATATATTTATTATTCTCTCTTTTTTTATTAAACTTATGTGAATCTTCCTTTCACATTTTGAAATTCACGTTCATTCCAAATAAAATTCACCCATTTGTTATGATTTATTTTTAAAATTTGTATTTTTAAATAATTTTTATAAATTTTTAAAAATATTTTGAATGATAGCCTATAAATTTTTTTACCCTCATCTTAAAGTCGACATATTTCAAAGCATACCTGCAAAAAATTATAGTTTTTTTATGCAAAATTTTCGAAAATATACGTGAATTTATATATTGGCGCGTTTTAAAATTTGACATATTTGTCGAAAAGCGATAAAACATCAAATGTGGCGTAGACACTTTGCTAAAATTCTTTGAAAGTAGGAACGATGTAACCTTTTTTCTCGTTCAGTAGGTAGGAACGAGGTCCCTTTTTTTCCGCTCCGGCATAAGGGAAAAGAAAATTGGTTGCCATATATTAAGAAGTTCGCTAAATGAATTATTTTTGGCTCAAACTGAAAAAAATTGCGCGAAGATAAATTTTTGAATTTGTCCGTAAATTTCGCACCAAATTTTATAAAATTTCATGTCTAGGCATGATTTGAGGCGTAGAATCGAAATATAGAAAAAACTGGTATGTTATTTCAGAAAAGGTCCGATTTTGTATCAAAATACCTATGTTAGAACAATGATATATATAAATCTAATATACAACCTAAGTCGCGCTTTCAAGACATGGAAAACACAATTTTAATTTTGTCAATCGGCCCACTAGAACGGGAGATATAAAACTGTCCCAGTTTTTTTTTCGCAGTGTACATATCAAATCTACGAGATTTGTGAAAACTCAAAGATGCACTAAAACTTGAAGTTATACAGATTCCTCCCAGGATGTTACACTTGTCATTGCTGCCAACAATCTCTCGTATGCAATGCGTTATTGTCTCCGAAGTTGAGCCCGTTGAAAACTCCCAATTCCAATTTGTTTCCCTTCTGCTCTCCTGTGTTGCCTTTTACAATCCTTTGTAAATGTTTTACGCAGGCAATTTTTGCCATGCGGGTATCGTTCCAACGTCATTTATAGTTTTTCAGTGGCCTGATCAATTATCACAGGAAAATGAAAACGTGTTACCATTCGAAAATTTCGAAAAGTTTCCACTATAGCCTTAACTGTTGGAGCTCTACTGTTTAAAATCATTTCAATCTCGAGCGCATATGTTCAACAAGTATATCTAAAGCTTTATTTTGATTGGTTGAGCGTATACGCCACTAGGGATTCATATACGGGGAAATTTTTCTATGACCATCCTGTATCTAAAGAACGTGAATATATCGTGGCATACTGTAAAAAACACTTAAGTTACAAGATGAGAACAAATATTGACAATATACTTTTCTTTTTTAGAGATGTATGAGAATTTCGTGTTTTGTCTTTGCCGATAAGTCTTTCTGATGCTACGTAATTTCAATTCTACGATGACGTTTTTCTTATTGCTAGATTGTGTGCAATATATAGAGAGATTTTATTAGCCATAGTATGTTGGAAATAATATGAAGCTGGTAACAAACCACTGTTCTTCTAAAAGTATGACAGTCAATCCTGAGAATAACGTCTTTGCAATTTTATTTCTTACCCAACGACTACATTAATGATCGGTAACTAATTATCCAACTAATTAAAATGATTTAGGAACAGGGAGTGCACTGTTGAAGTTACAGATAACCATCTGTTTTATTCACAAAGTATAAGTAAAAGCAACAGATCACAGCCGATTACCTCAGTTAATTCAAGATTAAGTATTTTACAGTAATTGCATGATGCGTCACTATCGATCCATTTGGGAATCAGAAAAATAATAGTGCAAAGAAAGGTAATCAATTTATTTTATTCCATAACAAAGTTAACTGTTAAATAATTATCCATTAATTAAAGTACATTTGTTACACATTTCCATTAACTGAATACATTATTTTTTTTTTGGAAAAGAAAATTTGGATTATTGAACTTACACATGTGTTATGTATTAATCGTTCTATTTTTTTAAGCTTAAGTTGTTTTGCTTATTTCAGTTTTGATTTGTAATTGAAGTTCTAATTTTTTTTTTTTTTTTTTTTTTTTTTTTTCTGTTTAAAGTTGGTTGTAAGTTTAATTTGTAACTTTTGTAAGTTTTGGTTAGGTTGCTTTGAAAGTTCTGAGTTGAATTTGTTTAATTTTAATTTGATTTTAGGGACTTAAGATTTTTTTTGGGTTTTTGTATCTAGTTGTTTTGACCCTTAAGGTTGTTTAACTTTAATTTTTTATTTTAAAGCCTTGTTGCTGCACTTTGATGTGTT